ACCCGCGTCCCCTGCATCGGCAGGCGGACTCTCAACCACTGCGCCACCAGGGAAGCCCTGTACATTCTTTTTTAATATTCATTATGGTTTATCACAGGATATTAAATATAGTTCCCTGTGCTCTACAGCAGGACCTTGTTGTTCATCCATCGCCCCCCTTTCTTTGGATCTTGTCTTCCTCTGCCGTTCGGCCTGTTCCCCTCTGTCTCTCTGTCTCTCTGTCTCTCTGTCGTCTCTCTCTGCCAGGCCCCAGGCCCCTTTCCCTCTGTCCTCATTTGGGATCTGATCTCATCCACCTCTCTGTCGCTCCCTCTCCCTCTGTCTCCCTGCCTTCCTCTGGAGCTCTGTCTGTCTGTCTTTCTGCTCTCGTTTCTTCTCCCTCATTCCTCGTCTTGGTGTCTCTCTCCTGTGCCTGCCTCTCTTTCTCTCTGAACAGCCCGCATCTCCCCGGGGAAGCGCCCGCTACCCTCTGAGCCCGCAGTGCTGTGTGTGGCCTCCTTGGTTGAGGGCTTTGATGGCGAGAGGGGTCTGGCTTCCCTGAGCTGAGGCATGAGACCCCTCAGGTGCTTCCTGGGCTTCCTGCTGCACTGGCTCCCACCAGCCTGTCGCTGGCTTGTCCATGTCACCCCCACCCCAGGGGGCCAGAGCAGGGGCTTGGTTGGAGGTGGCTTGGGGTCACAGAGGCCAGACCCCAAGACCCTGCCTCTGTGCAGCTGCAGGTCTCGGGGGCTTGGTCTCCCCGGCCCACGTTTCTAAGGCTGTGGCAGTTTCTCTGTGGCCGGTTTCCCGTGGCAGGTGTGGCTGACGGGAGAGGGGAGCCTGGGTGTGTGTAGGGGTGATGGCAGCTCCGGGGAGGGCAGGAAGCCACAAGACCTTGACCCCCTTTGGAACCCTCTTTTCTGCAGACCACGCTCAACCTAGGTGTGGGTGGGGACACCTTGTACGTGACGGGGGAAGGACACACATTGGCAGTTCGTGGCTCACCCTGGGGGGGCTACGGATGTGTCTTAGCTCACCGGGAGCCAATAGGGGCAAGTAGGGGTGAACTTCAGCAAGGGACGGAATTCCTGAAAGCCTGCATTTCTGACCTGCCCGGTTGGCCATTTCCATCCTCCTTAGAAACCAGGCGATGCGGAAAAAGTTAATCTTGTACTTCAAGAGGAGGAATCACGCCCGGAAACAATGGGTAAGTCATCACCTCGTCCCCCAGCCCTGGGATCTCTTCTGCTGCCCCCTCCCCTCCACGGACCAGGCTTCCTTGAGAGCCGAGACCTTCCAGGCCACTCAGGCCACACCCACCGGGATCCCTGGGTTCTGCAGCTCATTCCTGCGTGTCCAGGCTGTGAAGAAAAGCGAAGGGCAGTGAGAGAAATGGGAAAAGACAGCAGCTGCTTCCACGAAGCTGGGGGCTCAGGGCTCGGCTGCCTCAAGGAAGCTGGGGTGTGAATGGGTGGGGAGGCTGGGAACTGTGCCCCTCCTTTTCCAGCCTGGAAGGGGAGAAAGCAAAATGTTGGCCGGGAAGATTGGTTCCTTGTCAGGGGCCCTACTGTGGCTATTTTAGGCAGAAAGAGAGAGGTTTGTTGGCAGAGGTGGAAGACTGGGGTGGGCTGTGTGCTGGGTGGCAGTGACTGCAGGGGGCTCCCTGAGAAATGAGCTTTGCCCAGCCCGCTGTGCCCATTCCGGGCTCAGGAAAATCCGGGCCCAGAGAAGCAGTGAGGCCCCCCCTTGCTTAGAAAGTGGTACGGACTCCTGCATCCCACCGCACACTCTGCTGTCTCAGCTGGGAGGCATGCCCGAGGCAGGGGGAGCACATGTGAAAGAACACCTTCTGTTGTGGTTTAGGGTGGGCGTTTACGTCACTGGTTTGCTGGGTGAGGTTAGGGCTGAGCGATGGAGGGGGAGTTACCCATTAGTATTCTTTCAGCTGTGAGAGGAAGAAGCACTGGCTCAGATGGGCTTAAACAGTAAAGGAATTTGTGTAGCTGATGAAGTCCACGGAGTGGAGTTCAGGAGTGGTTTGATCAGGTTGCACCTTCATTTCTATGCCGTTTTTCTTCAAGTCTGCATATTAGGACATTGACAAGCTGGTTTTCCTTTGGGACCTGAATTTCTACAGCAGGTTTGAGTCCTTCTAGAGCCAGAGACAGAGCTGCTCTTTCTCAGACCATCTCACAAAAGCTCTGATTTCACCACTTGAGGGCCTCGGTCCCTCTGAACCAGTTTCTGAACCCACCCTGCTCTGGCCTTAGACCTTGGCTGGGCCCTTGGAGAAGGGATACATTTCTGGCCCACATGCTGGGCGACTGGGAAGCTGGTTGGGCGGCACCCTAGACCCCAGGGCCCCACGGGGTGAGAAGTGGTGGGCTTCCCTTTTCTTTCCAACCTCCTGAGACTCCCAGATTGACTGGATGGTGACCTGAGGTGCCTGGCTGGATAGATGGGGTTCAGGAAACGGGGCATCCCATCTCATTCATCGAGTTAAGAAATAGTTACTGAGCACCTGCTGTGCGCCTGAGTGGAGGAGATGCAGTGATAAGTGCCGTGCAGAGGGATGGGGCTGGGGACAGCCTGGATAGCCGACCAGGGTACTGAGAGAGGAATGCCCAGAAAGGACCACCCATGTGAATGTCTGGGGGTGTGAGTGTCAAGGAGAGGGTGCAGCAAGTGCAGAGGCCTTGAGGCAGGAACCGGCCTGGGGGGGTAACACCGGACAGCATGTAGCAGGCAAGCCTGAAGTATAGGGCATGCGTGGGGGGCTGTGGTCGAAAATCATGGGCGCCAGGTCACCTGGAAATGGAATGTCTAGGTTTTACTCTAAATACAGCTGGACACTTATTCTTTTTTTTTTTTTTTTTTTTTTTTTTTTATTTATTTATGGCTGTGTTGGGTCTTCGTTTCTGTGCGAGGACTTTCTCCAGTTGTGGCAAGCGGGGGCCACTCCTCATCGCGATGCGCGGGCCTCTCACTATCGCTGCCTCTCTTGTTCTCTGCGGAGCACAGGCTCCAGACGTGCAGGCTCAGTAATTGTGGCTCACGGGCCCAGTCGCTCCGCGGCATGTGGGATCTTCCCAGACCAGGGCACGAACCCGTGTCCCCTGCATCGGCAGGCGGACTCTCAACCACTGCGCCACCAGGGAAGCCCACTTATTCTTAATGTATTCTTAATAAAGAATACAAAATCTTTTAAGAATCTTTAGTTATTCGGAAAATTTGACAGTGATACAGGAAATCTGACAGAAGAGTAACAGTGAACACCTATAAGCCCGCTATCTAGAATCCATCACGGTTAACATTTCTTTATATTCGCTTTGTGTGTGTGTGTGTGTGTGTGTGTGTGTGTGTGCGCGCGCGCGTGTGCGTGTGTAAGTATGAATGTTTTTGTGTTGAGCTGTTAGAACGCAGGTGCAGACACCCAGACCCTCACCTGGAACACTTCCTGGAGGAAGGGAATTCTCTCTTTATCGCACCTAACGATTCACAGCTTCTCCTGATTCACAGCTTTTCCCCTGTAGTCCTGCCCAGGGGTGGGGTTCCTTTGGGGCTGGAAGCAGGAGATCTGATTTACATTTTAAAAGGATCCCGGGGGCTGCTGGGGGGTGGAGTTGGGTGGGTGTCAGTTGTTCAGAAATCTCCCAGGGCTCCTTGTGGAGGGGTCCTTTAGGGGATGGAGGGAAAATGGGCTTATTTAAAGATAGAGGAACTGGAGAGACTTCTAAGAAATTCTGGGTTCGCTTTGTGGCCAAGCTGAGCCCATCTTAAGAGAGGCCCTTGTGAAAATGAATTCCTAAACCACAGAAGCTGCAACGGGAGGGCGTCTGGAATGATCTCATTTTTGTTCTTATATAAATGAGCCCAGAGCCCCATGCATCGTCATCAGCAAGGACTGGGAGGGCGCTTGGCCAAGACGGGCCCCCTCAGATCTGCATGCTCCCCGCCCGCCCCCACCCCCCCCACGTCAGTCAGGTCCCCTTCTGTGGGGCCCTCACTCCTTAGAGGTTCCTGGGACCCACGCTGCCCTACGCTCCTGCTCTGCCCAGTGAGCTGAGGCTCTTCCCCCAGAGGGGCACCCAACCCCAACAGGAGCCTCCACCAGGCCTGCCCTGTCCTCCCCTGGGAAGCTGAGCTCGCCCGCCCCACACCCCCTGAAGCCAGATTGTGTGTGTGTGTGTGTGTGTGTGTGTGTGTGTGTGTGTGTGTGTGTGTGTG